CCACCATGTGGATTCACCATCAGTGACCCCATGGCCGACCGGCACGCCTCGCATGCATGCAGTCTTTGCATGAAGGACGATGGTGCATAGCACTGCACCGCACCGCAAGAAAGGGAAAAAAGCCGCTGCATGGTAGCCGCAAGTTTTCTGCCTGCATCGGTCTTTTTCGCCCTGTGCATTGCATAGCCTCTCCACTTTTGGGACCAAGGCCGCACCGCAAGCACCTTCTCTGCAAGGCTCGCACAGCCATGGCACCTTTTTCGCAAACCTGCATGCCCATCCACGCACAGGTCGGTTTCCTCTACGAGGATCAAGCAAGCAAGTGCCTCTCGGCCCCGCCCCTACGCCGCATGTTTCACTCGATGCCCTCGCATAGCAAAAGTCCTGCACCGGTATGCCCAACCCTAAACCCTAATCTTTTGCCAGCAGGTGCACAGCATCGACGCGGCCAGGACCTCAAGATCGTCGAAGGTGCACATGTTTTCAATCTGAGTGAGTTTGAGTTTCTGCACTGCATAGCCTCTCAAGCCAAGACTCTCGTATGTGCAAGCTCGGCAAAGCATTACTTCTAAGTACCTAGCTCTAAGTTCTGATGCATGTCTGAGAGCAATGGTGACGAATTGGACACCAGCAATGCACTGGGTGAAGAATCAAGTGACGAGGCACCGCCCAGAGTGGTGGTAAAAAGGTATCGCAAAGCTACCCCCCCTAGCGCAGCACAAGCACAGCAACCAAGCTCCAGCCAGCAGCATATGATTACATCGACTTCAGCCCCTCTTCTCATGCAAAGCAAACCGAAGTTTGGGCCCGGTCCTAGAGGACACGCTCCCCCTCGCCTGACAATTAGCCCCTACCCTTTGCCAGCCACCCTCCGCACGCAAATGCACATAACAGCACATTGGCACGATCGCTTGCAACCCCACGAAACAACCTACAGACCCAAGCTACCTCCCTTCGCAAAGGGGCCCCCCCTAGCACCTCCACTCAGCATCGCAACATGCCCGCGCTGCAACATGCCAGATCTTCGTACTGGAGGACGGCCCCCGCCACAGCCACGGCCAACCCCACGCAGCCTCGTGTTTCGACGACCGGGCATAGCGCTACAACCCGCACCGAGCACATCGTCTACTCAGCTACGGGGTGATGCTCCGCACCGCAGGCCGCAGACAGCACCAATGCACACACAAGCTGCAACGACAACGCAGCGCGCAATGCCACTATCCCCGGCGCCTGTGCGCGAACAGGCCCCCACGACAACCAAAGCACGCAATGCCGCAGCCCGCAAGCTCGCAGAACAGACCTTCATTGATCTGGTCAATAGAATTGGCCCGGCATGCGAAGCATTCCTGCAACTCAGTGCCTCAGCAAACTTTGCATCGCACCTACGACGGCTCGTGGCACCCTTCGCAGTTAGCACACTGCAACGATACCTCCGAGCCAGCCATGTTTTCGTGGACTTTATCTCCACTACATCCTCGCAAAGTGGCAAGCCATGCCTCAGCAACATCCAGGTATCGCTTATGGCAGATTATATGCTGGCATGTTCCGCAAGCAAAGAGGAAGACCGCGAAGTGCACATGATGAGCCCTGTCTCTAGCATCAAAGCACTTCGCTGGGTTGCCAAGACCCTGCAATGGCAAGCACTTTCAGAGGCGATGTCGTCTCCTGTCATCTCAGCATACGGCAGGCAATCGCGTGAATACGATCGCAAAGAAGCGACTGCAATACCCATGGCATTGCTCGCATGCTGGGAGCGCACTATCTGCTCCGCAGAGGCACCCCTCACCACCAAGCTGTTCCTGGGCGCCGTCCTGCTCTGCACGCACGCAAGCCTTCGCTTCGGCGATGCACAGAGAATAGAATGGACTACACTGCAACTAAGTGCGCAAGGATTGCACGGCACTGCATATGCAACCAAAACCACGAAATGTGGTCAGCCGTTCGCGTGTACTTGGCACGGCATCACAGGCAGATGTATGCAATCTTCATGGTTGCTGCAATGGCTATCATGCCTCGTGGAGGTAGGCACAGAAGCCGACCTGGAGCCAGATTTTCTCTTCTTTCATGCAGATCCAGACTCGCACAAGCACCCACAAGTTTTCCCGTGCAGCTACGCACACGCACTGCTGTGCCTCAGATTCATGGGACAAAAAGCTGGACTGGCAGAGTCAGAGGCATTCGCACTGACATTACACAGCATGAAATCCACCATGCTAGCGGCCGCCGCGCAAATCCAGTTCGATGAGCATGCACGCCTCGCACAGGGACACCATCGGGACAGCCTCAGCCTCTACAGCCGCAGCGACACTCTGGAAGCCCTCCGACTCCAACGTGAATTGAGCACGCAATTGGCTCGAGGATGGAGACCGCAACGCAGCATGGCCAGAGGAGGCGCAGCCCCCGTACCTGAACCACCCTTCAGCACGCCACCGCAGCCCCCGCAGCAACTGCTCGACAACGAACAGCTGCAAGCAGGGACGTGGGCAGTTTTCACATCTCGACATGAAAGCCTGCACCGCAACACCGAACCCAAGTCGCCCGAACCGGACGAACAGCAAAGCACACGCCCAGACACCGACTCGGAAGCAGATTTGGTGGAGAAATACGCGTGGGAACGCACGCAAAGCTCAGAGGAGGAATCTGAGGAGCCGACCGCCCCTGCACCGGATGAAGAACTTTTCGTGTGCTCGGGGCCCTGGAACGCACTGCACAGCCCCACGCGAAGTTCGCATCTAGAATATGAGCTCCTTTACGGCTTTACGGATCGAATCCGATGCATGCAGATGTGCTCATAGCAGCCTGTGGCGCCGACCTGGGCTCCATGCCTGTGGTCATTAAGACCCATGACCCTGTTTCAGCATGCAGACGCAAAGCGTGCGTGCTCGCACGAGCAAGCTTGCAAGCATAAACATCGCCCTGCCTGCTCGCTCCTACCAGCACTGCCCAGGTGACGACTACGCCGGGAGGCCCGCAGAGGGAGGAAGAGCTTCAGCTTGTCTCCTGCGCTTGCCTCTCTTGCTTGTTTTTCTTGTTCCCGCACGCTTTGCACTGTACGCGTTGCTCAAGCCAAGTGGCTCAACTAACAACCACGACACAACATTGCATTTTTTACATAGCAGATAGATCTTAAGTTTTCCCGCACCGCATCGCTAGGCATGGCAACGCAATCCGGGGCAGATGTGCCCGGAGACGCACCGCACTCTGCACACAATGAGCTGAACAACGAAGAAGGGCTGCAGCGCATCCTGCGGGAACTCTGCGTCCCGCCGGCAATGCACCAAGCGCTGCGAGCGCAAGGCATATGTTGCATCGCAGATTTTGCCTACGCTTATAACAGCACCGCCGACCTCGATAACTTTGCCGCGTCCAAGGACGAGGAGTTTTGGACGGCACTGCAAGTGACAGAGCAGCCCTTGCACAGCATGCCGATGGCACGCCTGCGCCGCGCACTGGTGCAAGCACAAATCCGAGTCAAGGCATACGAGGCAGAGAGGCATCGCACAGAAGAGCCTGCACCGCAGAGCTCTGCACCTTCTTCCAGCACCGCACCGCCCACCGACTCCTGGGTGGAGCACGCACCGCAACGCCTGGACAACGACACCGTGGCAAAGCTCACTGCAGAGTTCAAAGAAGCCTATCCGGGAGAGCTCCTGGATAGCGCAAGCACGCCCAGCATTCGCCTGCTCAGCATGGTATACGCTTGGTTTAAAGACCCTGCACAGCCTCGCATCAAGTACATCCCTTTGCAATTCCGCATGTCGCAACGCCAATACACCGAGATCATTGAGGCCAAGGCGCACCGCATTGTCCGCACTGAGGCGCAGCTCATCAGCACTGCATTGTTCGATGACACGCCGACGCTCAGCATTGCAGAGGTCAATATCAACGAATCGTGGCTGCAAGCAAAGCA